TATTATATGTGAAAGCGTATAGCAGAAATTGGAAATTTCGGAAACCTGATCGCGTGAAGAAACATCACGATATACTGTATAGGTCCTTCCTAGTCACAAACAATCGATAATAACTTTTATAATATTAACAGGCTTCAAGCAAATACACGTGTAATCTTGGTCTAACTAAGCTCTCGCCACTTCCGCGAGACTACTCTGCTTGTTAAAACAAATTAAGGAAATCACGCGAGAGTGCAATATGAACGTTTTTTTTTAATAACTATTACATAAATAATGTTTGAGACTTTTGTGTACTTGGGAAAAGCCCCTCCCCCCAGTGGCACAGCGGTATGTCTGCGGAATTACAACGCTAGAAACCGGGTTTCGATACCCGTGGTGGGCAGAGCACAGATAGCCCATTGTATAGCTTTGTGCTTAACTACAAAGAAACACTAGGGAAAAAACACTGCACGCGACTGAATGAAAAAAAAACAACAAAAAAAAAACACAGTCTATTTTAATTAACAGTCACTTAATGTTAGTGCATGTGGTTATTTGTCATCCCACCCCCTACTGTGGAATATTCGTACACAATACCCTCAACAACAACAATCGTTTCACATACGCTCAATCCAGGGCCCTGTTTTTCGCGCAAGACTGAGCGCGTGGACTATCTGCGCATAGAGTTTGTTTTGTTTATAGTAATGCTCAAAGCTATACAAAGAACTATCTGTGCTCTGACCACCGCGGGTATCGAAACCCGGTTTCTAGCGTTGTAAGTCCGCAGACATACCGCTGTGCCACTGGGGGGGGTGCTCATAGCGATCCCTGATTTTGAACTGATAGAGTAGAGGCAGCTAATGAACAACACTTTCCGCCAACTCTTTGGCTACTCTACTCGAGTAATGTTATTTGACCATCACTCTAGTAATGCTTGCACGACTTCAAAATGCGAAGCGTGGTTTTTGCGGCAACGGGTGGCGAATCACGAGTCCTCGAATTCACTGTCCGGCCACACTAACTATTATTCCACTCCCAGTTAGGCTCATTTTTGGAACGAAATAAAAAAAACCGCATTTAAATATTTGTGAGAGAACAATCAAAAAATTATGACAGTCAGAAGTTCGACCTGAAAAAAAAAAATAATGTATTTTATCTTTATTTTTCATATAATCTTAACATTTGTATTACAGTGATAAGTTTGAATGTAAAACACTATTATTTAAAACCACGTGCTTTCCCGTCGTCAGAGAATATATCATTTAACATGAAATGTGTAAAATCTTGACTAAAGTAAACAACATCCTGACAAACTTTACGACAGTATAATAAGTAAATCACCTGTTACGTAGATATTGTTGACGTCGCTGAAGAAATATTCCAGTAATAAAGATTCAATAAAAAAAAACACACCAAAAAACATGTTATCTAGCTGGACTACTTTATCATTTTTAAAAGGTAAAATATACACATCATCTACCAATAATCCAACGTTACTAATATATTATTTAACGTGGCAAGGCTTTCATCAATAATATGAATACAACACGCGACGAATGTAGCAACAAATGATATTATTAACATGAACACATAATTTAACGTGAAACCAAGCAGACAACTGTACATTGTTTAACATGGCAATAAGATGTAGTTATTAAGATCTATTTATAATTTAAACTAGCAGCAAGCGGACACCGAGGGCTTCTATACACCATTTAAAAATATCAAGCGATATTACAAAAATGTATACACTAGATGTCGGCTTGTTGCCACAGTTAAAAAGTAAAATGTATACACTATTTAACTGTGGCAACAAGCCGACATCAGTAAAATGTATACACTATTTAACTGTGGCAACAAGCCGACATCAGTAAAATGTATACACTATTTAACTGTGGCAACAAGCCGACATCAGTAAAATGTATACACTATTTAACTGTGGCAACAAGCCGACATCAGTAAAATGTATACACTATTTAACTGTGGCAA